ACAGCTATAAAACCTTAGGAACACTTCCATCTATAGCAGTCTCTTCAAAATACACTGTAGATACAGTTTTTGGTAGGCAAATTCTCTCAGCTTTTGCTTATTTAGATATTGTTTAATCCCTCCTTCAAATTTAAATGATAATCTTGCTGGATAAAATAATCTTGGTTCAAGGCCCTTCTGCTTCATTGCATTAAATACATCATGCCACTCCCTTCTGGTCTATAAAGTTTCTGCTGAGAAGTCTGATGATAGCCTGAAGGCTTTCCTTTCTATGTTGTGGTCTTATTTCTCTCTCTGGCTGCTTTTAATAGTCTGTCCTTATCCTTGATCTTTGACATTTTAATTCCTATATGTCTTGGTGTTGTCTTCCTTGGGTCCCTTCTGTTGGGAGATCTGTGCACCTCCATGGCCTGAGAGACTATCTCCTTCCCAGATTGGGGAAGTTTTCAGCAATTACCTCCTCAAAGACACTTTCAATCTCTTTCTCTCTGTCGTCTTCTTCTGGTACCCCTATAATGCGAATATTGTTCCGTTTGGATTGGTCCCACAGTTCTCTCAATATTGTTTTATTCTTAGAGACCCTTTTTTCTCTCTGTGCCTCATCTTCTTTGTATTCCTCTTCTTTTTTCTGTTCATTTATCGTCTCCTCTACCATATCTAATCTGCTTTTAATGGTTGGATCTCCAACTGGAATTCATTCCTGAGTTCTTGAATATTTTTCTGTACATCCATGAGCATGTTAATGATTGTTATTTTGTAATCCATTACAAGAAGATTCATGAGATTGATTTCATTTGAATTTTTCTCAGGTTTTGTATTAATAATTTTACTTTGAACCAGCTCCCTTTGGCATTTCATATTTGTTTATGGCACCCTCTAGTGCCCAGAAGCTCTACTCTCTGAAGCTGCTCAGCCCCTGAAGCAATGTCAGTGTTTGCAGGGTGTGGTATTGGTGCCGGCGGGGAGGAAAGAGCTGTTTCCTGCTTCCCGGCTGGTATGCCTGTGTCCATTGCCTGAACCAGTGGGCCAAGCACACAGGTGTAAGCCTCTGTGCTTTGCATTTGTAGTTGCTCTAGATGGGGCTTCCCTCTGGCTGGCAGGTGGTTTGTGAGCCAGATGGGGCTGACTGCAGGAAAGGCACAGTAGGCTGCGTATCATGGATGGGGTCTTGGAGCTGTGTAACCAACCAGAGAGCTAGAGTGCCTGAAGATCAAGAAAGTTCCCTACTTGCTGGGAACTTTCTCCAGGTGTATTTAAATTTGAAGGAGGGATTAAACAATATCTAAATAAGCAAAAGCTGAGAGAATTTGCCTACCTAGACAATTTTTTCTACCTATCCTTTCTCCTGACTAGTAAGCTCTGTGTAATCCTTGCTCCTTTAGCAGCCCTTTTGCTAAGGGCTTCCTTGTTAGGAAGTCTCTCAGACTGCCCACCTTTCTTTTGTCCCAGAGCAGCCAGATTTGGATCCCTGCTTTCCACAAGTGGCTGAAATCTCAATGTCTCCAGGTATTCTGCCTGTCTTAGCTTTCTAACTCCCTAATCATGAGAGTACCATGAAAGCACCATGAAATGTAGGTTTGTGCTCCCAGAGCAGATTTCCGAAGTTGGGTATTCAGCAGTTGCAGGCCCCCACTCCCTCCTCACTCTGTTTCTCTTCCTCCCACTAGTGTGCTGGGGTGAGGGAAGGGCTTGGGTCCTGCTGGGCCATGGCTTTGGTACATTACCCTATTCTGTGAGGTTTATTCTTTTCTCCAGGTGTATTCAGTTTCGCCCAGTCCTCTTTCCTGTTGCTCTTTCAGGATTAATTGTTTTAATTATATTTGCATATTATATGTGGTTTTAGGAGGAAGCCTCTGTCTCACCTCTCATGCCACTATCTTAAATCTTCCCAATACTTTTTTCTTTTTGAAATAAACACAAACCCAATCATTAAGGCTATAAAAGATTGTGATGTTATGTAAAAATATCAAGTAGTTCACTGTCCTAGTGTTTTTATTGTGATTTTTATTTTTTTTCTTTATTAGTTATTGTTAGTGGTCTAGATACAAGAACACATTATTTTCAGGTACATACATATGGCATTATAGTAGAAATACCTCTTCTATTGTGGTACCGATTTTTTAGAAGAGGAAAGTGAAGGTGAGAAGGGTTAAGTGATCTACTCACTTTCACATACTGGTAAATTGTGGATCCAGGTCTGAATTTGCCAGTTCCAGACTCTCTTAACTTCAGTGGTATGTGTATCAAACTGAGTTTAATTCCTTTTTCCTGATTGCAGTCATTCTTTATTCTGACAAAAGTAAATTTTCACGGCAGGGGAATCCCATCTTGGGTTCCACTTGTTCTGCGAGACAGGTATATTCAAGGTTAACACCTACTCATGAATTCATCTCATTATTTGTTCAAAATATGCCTCTTCACCTTTACTAATATTCCTTGTTGTGCTTTACTTTCTAATGATAATAGAGACATCCATATTTCTTATTAGTGTGTGTGGTGTATATTATTCTTTTATTTTTTAATTTATCTGTGTCTTTATATTTAAAATGGAACTAGCAGTGGGAATGGGTTTTAAATATCACATGGAAGAGATTAAACAAAATGTTTTACTGGAGAGAAGGGAAGCTTGCAGAACATGAGACGAGCTAAAGGGACCACCTTCTCGCAATGTACCCCAATATACTGCTGGGCAGCTTCATGCCAGAATTGTCTCATAACACCAGTGGCCCATATCTGGAAATTCCTGGGCCTGAGGGAAAATGCAGTCCTCACTCTTCCTGTAGCAATAGAAGGAAGCTTTGATGTCATGTACTCTGCTGGGAGGAGGGTGGAGAACAGGGTTGTCAAGCCAAGCCAGACTAAACACTAATGTTCATTAAAAAACAAAAAATGCTCCACTTACTTGTACTCTTTTCTCTTTCTTCTCCAAACTTTTGTTCTAAAGTAATATAGCATATGAAATCTTGAGAGATTTTTGGCAATGCAAATGAAATGTTCTGGTGAAGAAAAGCAAAGTTCTTTCTTTTTCAGCATACTAATGCTCAGAACAGTTCTGAGTTTCAGTCATGGAAGAACATTCAGTTGATGAGAGAGCAAGAACAAATATATTTAGATCCCTATGAAAATGTTAGAAAATCATAAAATAAAATATAGGTCCAAATACAAATATAGGTTTTAGTTTCCCCATTCTAATAGTGGTTGCAATGACTATTACACTTCCCTGGTTATAATCTATCGCATTACAAAGGAGAGCTCTTTGCCCCTCCCCTTTGAGTGCCTGTGTGGTGTGTACTACACCATAGAAGGGCCTGCTGTTATTGTTGCTCTGCACTATTAAGTTAAAGCATAAATGGTAAGGTTTTTGACCTACCAGTTTCTCTATTTTTTTCTTGATCAGAAAATAGAATCCTTAATGATTTCTTTATTACATATTGAATACATACAATAACTTTTTCAAAGGTTAGTTGTGCAAAGTACTTGTAAACACTTGTGTACCCAGTCCTGAACATATTCATAGGTCAGAAAATGCCATCATTGTCTAATCTGTATTTTGGATGTATTATCTGTAGGTTATCTATTTGACATTTCAGTAAAATAATAGAAGAATGAGTTTCACTCAATATTTACATATATGTGGGCTAGCATGTGAAAACATAGAAGAAAATAATCTACCATTTAGTAAAGTGTGTGAAAGTGCATGTATTTAAACATCATTTAGATTTATTGTTACAAGATAAGAATGATTCACTTCCATAGACCCTAGGCAGGGAAAGAGTAATACAACAATACAATAATTCAACAAGGAAATATTATGGATAATAATAATAGTAATTATTATTATTAATTAGCTGAGAAAATATTCCAAACAGCCCCCCCACCTTTTATTTGTGATTATGTAATGAAACATACTTAGGTCAATTTCATGGCTTAAGAAAATGCAGTAAATACATTTTGAATTGTTATTCAAGTTATATTCATATTTATGGATTATCTGTATATTCTTGTATGCTATCCTAAGGCAATGAGGTCTGTAGATATATGCCATTTATTCTAATGTCCTTAGAAGGGTATGTTTTTATTTGCATAGCTACATCTCTTCTATATGCTGTAAGTTTAATAAAATGGATCAGCTGGAAATGATTGCTCTAAGATATAGTACATTATTATTTAGCAATGGGATCATTGCTCTATGGGGAAAAAATGGATTTGAATTGCATCCATGCTGTTTGCATTCAACTTGTAAAATGCATGGAATCTCTAACAGAGTAGGAAAGATTAGAGGTGTATTCTCTTTCAACTTTTACTCAACGAATGTCTACAATGTAGCTGACTGAAAAAATAGTGAGAAAGTAAGCACTGAAATGTTACATCAGAATAATGTGTTGCTCTAGTCAAGTACCCCAGACATCACTTAAAGAAGAATGGTTTCTATTGCATATCTGTGTGCTAGTTTTGTCTTTCAAGTTAAGATTTATGTTTTATGGATTTGCTCTAAGGTAAAAGAAAAAGATGCAGTTCTCACCATGGGAGATTCTGCTACTTCTTTATCTCTTCTTTTTCTTCCATTCTCTTATTTCCAGTTATCTTTTTTCACATCAGAAGTCTTACTGAGTGTATTGAAGTATCAGGCTCTGTTATTACAGGCATTTCCTTTTGTTCAGGATAAAATTCTGTGATAACCCCTGTGAGAAGTGATGGACAGAGAGAGGAAGAGATTCATGTTGTTAAAGGGAAACAAGAAGTGGATGTTGAAACTCACCGAGTGTTTGAATCTCTGCCTCCCACTGACATTTCCCAAAAAATATCACTTATAAATAGCATAATAAAGATATTTTTTTCCTTTTTGAAACAGGACATTTTTTACATCATGCTAGATATAAAGTAGAATGTTTTCTGCTTTAAAATAGATATGCACGTCAGCTAGGGTTTCAGCATATGATCTTTGTTGAAAAAGGCATACACGTAGAATATGTTTTCAAATCACTTTCTCTGGTTTGCAGGTACGATTCTGGTGGATAACATGCTGATCAAAGGAACCGCTGGAGGACCAGACCCCACCATAGAACTCTCTTTAAAGGACAACTTGGACTACTGGGTGTTGTTGGATCCTGTTAAACAAATGCTTTTCCTGAACAGCACAGGCAGAGTTCTGGATAGAGATGTTAGTAATTTTTTTTCTTTGTCCCTGTGTTACAACTTTGTTTTAATTTAAATGTCTGCATGTGTTTGTTAATATATCAAAATTCCTGTACATAATTTGAGTTTATTTTCTGTGTTTACCAACAAAAACTTTTTTTTAACTCCTGAAAGAAGGCTGAGAAAGGAAAGGACCATCTGTGTCTGAGAAAACCATTGTATTTCCCTTCTATCATCCTGGAAGCTTCTCAGATTTCTGAACAAGGAGAGAATAGAGTGCTCACATGAAGGGCTGGTAAACTTGGGAAAGAAGCATAAACATGGCAATAATCCATAGTGAAATTTAAGAGACCAACTAGGTGTTGGCTTGAGAACAGAGATTTTGGGGGGAATACCAACAGGCAGCTGCTCGTCCAAGGAGTAAGCATTGGTTGTGAGATGAGGTGGTGGTGATGTTCTTACAGAGCTGTAGGAAAACTAAAAGAAGGTGAGCACAGGTTTCTTGGCAATGTCCCAGGGCAGTCATTGTCAGGTGGCATTTTGTATTTTGTAATTAAGAACTGCTAAATTATTAAAGTCATTGAATGTCTCATTTCTGAAAAGGTTGAAAAACTTGAGGAGCTTTAAGTAGCTTTCAAAGGTTAAATTTATTCTCTCTATTTGCATTTCAGTCTTGAGAGTGGAGAATAATGTGTGTGGGGCTGGGTACTAGTGGGTGGGCGGGAGTCGGTTTATAACCAGTAACTGCATAGGACCTTGGGAAAACTCAATGAGTACATTTAAACATGCCTATGCCTAAATTTCCAGTTTTTGGAATCCAAATGTCAGATATTTACTAGTGAGCCTGAATCATCTCTCTACATCACTGAGATTTATGATCCACTTTACAACATGATGTGAAGTAGTTGATCCCTAATCTATTTCACATCCCAAAGTCAGAGTCTTTAAGATCTTTGCGGTGAGGTGGGCAGTACATGGGATTTTCCCACCTGCATGAGCTGCGTCTGTGTACTTGGGGAGGCCCATCACACAGCTGACTAAACCTTGGTGGCAGATGTGAAGTCTGGGTAGCAACAGAGCATAGGAATGCAACTGTTGAGCTCAATATAGGAAAAAAAAGTCAGCCCTGATTCTGTCCCCATCCCCACCACTGTCATTTCATCACTGCAACATTCTTCCACTCCAGTTTACAGTTTTGGCTGCATGGCAAAAAAAGGGGGAAAATGAAATAAGGGCAGTTGTTATCTTAGAATTTATCTTATCTTTATGTATCTTACAATAAGTCTTCTATGAAAGCAATCTAGATAACAGCACAAACTAGCAAGCTGCAAGGGTCCCCATGGCTGCATGAGTCACAGGCATCCTTTTCTGGCCTTAGTTAGGGACACTTAGATCCAAGTCATATGAATTTTGTAATGTCATATAAGGGTAATTATAGCATATTTACCTATTTTATACCATTGTCATTTTATATTATGTTTTTTTTAATCACCCAATAGCTGTTTAAAATAATTTACTGTTTTACTGGTAAATTCCTTTTTTTTTGGAACCATGCTTTTTTTCTTCATTTGATATTAAAACCACAAGTTCTGGTTCTGAATTATGAGTAGAAAGCACGGACATCCATAACTAAACTGCATCCCATTGCTTAAGATGATAACATCGTTTTAATCACAATTATTTATCAAACATTTTTACCTTTTAAGATAATTGTCTATTTTCTTCTGCTGCTGCTCTCCTCCTCTTCTTTCCCCTTCTAGCATTTATTGAGCTTTGGATAAACTAGAACAGTGTCATGGAAATACATTTAAGATTGACTTGACCAAAGGGTAGTAATTGCAAAAATGTGCACAGGTATCACTTAAAGAACCATTCAGGCTAGTACTTGAACACAATAATCAGAAATAATTTCCTTTCCATTTGAATGTTCTTTTGGATTAGGAATGTCATGGTCAAGTTAAACTTGAAAAGATAGTTTATAAATTAAAGTGTTGACAGGGAACGTCTAGCTGAAATTAGCTGAAGATACTGAAAGGTATGACATCTAAAAATTATTAAATGTTTAATGAATATTACAAAGGGAAATCTGTAAGTACATAAACAAAACAGAACACATGCTCACATACTTGCAGTATATTTACCAGTTGACAGATAAACTTGTTGCAATAATGACAAAACACTAAATAAAAGATGGTCTAAACCTCAGTGGTATGTGAATTTGAGCCTGTATGCTAAAGAATGTCAAGCCAAACATCTGTCAGTGCCATCTTGTAAAAGTACGCTCACCTAGTGGTGGGACTGAAAAATCTGAATTAAAATAGACAGAGGACTTGAGCCAAAGGGGGGCACTTTTAAGCTTTTAAGCTTTTATTTCCTTTGTTCTTCTTTCAAATAGAATCTGTGATCAGAGAGGAAGGAATGACAGATAAACAGTGAGATGTTATGCCTTTATCTTCCTCCCTGGCAACAATAGTTGAGAAAGACTGAGGAGGAAGATACTTTTAGCTCAGAACAATAAAATAGGGATGTTAAGAATGTCCTCAATAGAGACAATGAAAGTGTGAGGTTAAATGAATGTTGTAGGTTTCTCTTTAAAAATTAAGATGGTAGAGCCCTCATGGAAAGATAATTCGGGAAGAAGAGAAGAAGAGCCAGATGGTCATAACAAATCAAGGCAAGAGTAACTAGACAAACTGCATATTTTTATTTAGTGGTATAGTTAAAGCTTGCTGATTATAGATGCTTTACAGAATCACTGAATTTTGGAGCTGAAAGGAACCTTAAAATTTTGCTAATTCACAATTTCTTTTTGCCCATAATATACCATGCAGTAAATTTAGAGACAGCTAGTTTTTAAAATTCAGCACTTGTCTGTGGTGAAATAAAAAAAAACATATCAATGGAGTGATTTGTTTTTCTCCAAAGCCTAGTGTATTCATTTTATTCTGATATAATGCCCTTTTTACATTTTTAGGCATTAAAAATACTTATAATTTTTTAACTTTGTAAATCATAGGTGACTTTTGCTTTGTGAAAGTCATTTCTTAGAGAAATAGATGGTTATATATCCCTTGTTCACCGTCCCATGTTTTTTATTGTTACATATTTTACTGGTCCACTGTTCTAGTGTTCTCTCTGTTTAGATGAAGAAAGTTTGAACTGGAAACTCTAAATGAAGTCCACACAGCTAATAGTAAGGAAGCCAGGTTGAATTAAATTGAGTGAATTAAATTGAAGCAAAGGGAAGTGTAAAAGTATAAAAATAGTAAGTAAAGTAGCAGAGGAAAAAATATAGAAGTAGTGTGGAAGAAGTGGCAAGGGTAACAAGAATACGAATAGTAAAATGGTGTGAAGTGTAGCTTGGCTAGCTGACAACGGAGGCCATTGAGTTAAAAAGCTGTGATAAAAGGAAAAAAATGGGAAAAAGCCTAATGTAAAAAACCCATCAAATCTCTATAATGTATCAGGAATGAATTACATTATGAAAACATGTTTCTTTGGAGGTACCCATTGTTATTCACCAGTATTAAGATTCCATAAGTCAAGGAAATAATAAAAGGCTGAAATAGTAATTTTTGACTTATGGATTCTTCAGTAAGACTTCATCTTTGGGAGGTAGAGAATATAATGAGTATTCTGATGAAATCTATAGACTAATTTCTTAAGAGAAAAAGTTTATTTGCACATGAATAAATTATTTACAATCACATTCAAGAGTTTCACTAACTACCAAGGCTACATAGGCTGCAGGACATAGATCTAGACGAGTGAAATAATCTTCCTATTTTTTTGTGTCAATTCTAAGAGAATTTGGCATCTCAATATTAATTCTTAATAGAACTAAGAGAACGTTTGATTATTTATCATTGTTCAAATCTGCTGTTTCCTTATTGATTCTCTGTTTGGACGATCTATCTGTTGTCAAGAGTTGGGTATTAAATTTCCCAACTATAATTATATTATTGTTTATTTCTCCTTGTAGCTCTGTTAGTTTTTACTTTATATAGTTAAGTGCTCTCAACACTGGGCATATAAGTACTTACAATTGTTATATCTTCTTCATGTATTGACCCATTATCATGACATAATGAGCTTCTTTGTATGTTTTTACCATATATAGTGGAAAGTCTGTTTTGTCTGATGTAGTAGATACCCTCCCTTTTTTTTATTATTATTTGCTTGAAATGTCTTTTCCTATTCCTTCTTTGTCAGTCTATGTGTGTCTTTAAGGGTAAAATCAGTTTTCTATTGGCAACATATTGTTGGGCTTTGTTTTTTTAATCCATTCAGCAATTCTCTTTTTTGATTGAAGACTTTAATCCATTTGCCTTTAAAGTAATTGTTGATAGAAAAGGACTTAATATTGCTATGTTGTTAATTGTTTTCTGATTGTTTTGTACATCCATTGTACCTTGTTTTTATCCTGATGTCTTTTTTGTGTGTGTTTTGATGTCTTTTGGTGTCACTATGCTCTGACTTCTTTATTGTGTTCTTTTGTTTAATTACTATAAGATTTACCCTTGTGGTTACCATGAGGCTTATATAAAATATTTTAAACTCATAACACACTATTTCAAACTGATGTCAACTTAACTTCAATAGAATTTTATATACTTTACACTTTTACTTCTCTCCTTCATATTTTAGGTAACTGCTATTAAATTTACATGTTTTTTTATAATGTAAAACTAATAAATTATTATATAATAGTTATATTTGTTCTGTTTTCTTAACTTTTAAATTAAGATCTTGAGCTATGCACCACTGTTACCATATTTCAGAATCTGTGTCTATTCTATACATTTACCATTACCAATGATATTTATGCTACTGTTTTGTTTTTATATTATTTAGTGTCCTTTTACTTCCATTCAACAAACTCCCTTTAGCATTTCTTGTGAAGTAGTTTTGGTGGTAATGAACTCCCTTAGCTTTTGTTAGTTCAGGAAGTCTTCATCCCACCTTTGTGCAGCCTCACCAGATAGAAATTCTGGGTTGACAGTTGTTGTTTTTTTTTCAATATTT